ACGTGACAAAAAGCTCCCCAGTGGCTGGTCAGAGTACTGTCAAGTGGGATCATCTAGTATTGCACAGGTGCTAGGGTAAAAAGTTGCAGAGGATCAAGTGAATGTGACATCCAAATTCTATGCTGTTTTCCACCTCTAAGGTCTTGGCATGCATTAACAGGCAGGAGGGGGAAAAGAGATGATGCAAAGCAGAATCACTTCTGCCTCCTGGCTCAAGAAGCCTTGAGAATCTTTGACCTGACTGAGGCCAAAAATATTGCCACTGAAATGTATCACATCTGGAGGAATGTTAATGCTACATACTTAAGGGCTGAGGGAAAGGAAGAGAATAAATGAATTCGCTCTACAATGTGCACCATAAGGGAAAAAAACATAAGACTCTGGAAAACTCATTTTCAACTATGTATATAACAGAAGGTTTAGCAATAATTCAAAATCTTTTTACACATTAGATGAGAGTGTTTTTCTCTTCTAATTAAATTGAGATCACCCACAGCTCTTTTTAAAAATGTCGCAACTCTAAAAAAAAACTGTTAAACCTGCACCACAGGCAGGATTGCGACTATTAAACAGTTTCGGGGAACATGCAAAGGGACAGGCTTTGCCCACTAAAACTGGCACACACAAACCAGCTGTACAGCAATATAAAAATTTTATTAGTCCCATAGGAGAAATACAGAGATTTTTATTGGTACAAGTGGGTGTATGTTCTGGTTTTCCAAACACTGTGTTATGTGAATGTATGAAATCACATATAGCATGGGCACTTATGTCTCATGAAAACAATGCTGTCAGCCTAATTTAAAGCCTATTCTGTAGATTATGCCAATGCCCTTCATCATACAGAAGAAAAGCTGTATTTGGAAGGGTTTTTTTCCCTTGTGTTTTTCTGGAGTACTTGTTGTCTAAGAGAATGTACTTGGAATTCCTTTACAGCAGGGGTGGGCAACTGACACTAATTTTAAGTACAAAGTACAATATCATTTTCCATATAGTGCAAAGGGGGCAGGTAGTTTGTGGGCTGCCAGTCTTCTTGGACTGTACCACCCATCAGTTTTAGCCAAAAAAGGCGAGGAAGGGTAGGAGTTGTAATCCATTTGGAGACAACAGATTGTCCCTCCTACAAACCAATGATATGGTACAGTTGTTGGGTGCAGCATTAAAACTGTATTTAAAGTTGAGTTCAGTAGTTCAGAACGGAGTCTTCCCATGCTTGTTGAGCTACAGAAAAAAAAACCTATACCACCCACAGACAAGAAGCAGGTATCTGTGTACCCCAACAATTACAGGTTAACTACAAAATTTGCATAAATAAATTTAAATAATTTGGGAAAAACTAAGGGGAGGGAACACCCTTAAAAAACACCACAAAACAACTTAAGCATACAGAATACTGAGAAGAAACTTTAAAATATCCCCGGACCTAAATGAGGGGTGCGAGAAGGTGCTACCCGAGTGCCATCCTCTCAGCCCTGGACGGTAGAGGGAGCCCAAGATAACAAAGAGGAAAGACAGGAAACAGAAGAAAATGAGAAGTCCTCTGTTGGACCTGAGGAGAATGAGGTAGAGAAAGAGGTGGGAACTGGAACTGCCTCACCAGAAAGGACCACAAGAGCAGGGGAATGGTGAACAAACGAATCATTTCCCCTGTTGTGTTTGCCAGATTCAAGGGACCTATGAGAGGCACTGAAACCCAGAACTGACAGGACCCAAGACATGGGGATACTGGACACATCAGTGAATCGTTCATTGAACTCCTTTGCCTCCCCCGTCCCCTGCTGGAGGAAAAAGTGGAAACAGAACCATTGTTACCCATTAATATGTTGTGTACAAAGTTTGAAGTAAGGGTTGATGATTTAAAACAAGAGCTTGAGTCCAGCTTGTTTGTCAAGGGGGAAAAGGGGCGGGGAGGTGAACTTTCACAATTGCCTTCTGCTATTTCCTAAGGTTCTTTGGTTAAAAGTAAATGGGTGCTATCCATTAATTTAAGTATCCTTAAATCTCATTAAGTTTCATTGTTGCCTGACATATTAGCCAATAGTCCTAAGAGTCATAGAATCATCATTCTATATAACATTTAAAGGCTTGCTAAAACACCGTTCTTCAACATGTTTCTTTATCCCCACATTGTTGATTGTTGCCTGAATAATTTTGTTATTCATATATGATATAAGCATGCAATCACTAAGCATGTTATTGAATTCTGTATTGGTATATTAATGTGTTTGTTTTTGCTAGAGTTTCTGACCAAAAACATTCACTTGTTTGAATTGTTTCTTTAAAACATACACTATTAACAAACACCACAATATCTAATATCCTGATAATCTGCACAACTGAGATGATTCTAAAAAGGAATTTAAGAGTGGGAATGATTCTGTTTATTGTGAAAAGTATGGAATGGCATCAAGCTCTGCTGAGGACACTTGTTTCCTTTACTACCTTTCACTTAATTTTATCCTGGTAAGATAGCAGGAATGGATTTGATCTATTTGAACTAAATCTTGTTGACACCAGAGGAATGATAAACCTGTTACCACTTACCAGTGTCTACAGATAAGACACAGGATCTCACACAATTTCAGAACTGCTGATATACGCGACATTCTGTAAATGAACAATAGCCGCCTATGTGACAGCAGGACCATGTTTTCAATTTTCAAAATATCACATTGCAATTGTAAAATTGGAAGGGTGTGAACTGTCAGAGTACCACAAACTAGACTAAAATTTTTCCCTCTTATTCATTATTTTTGATTACAGATATGAACAACATTTTGTGGAGCCTTAAGTATTTGGTAGAATTATATAAAGTCCCCTCCATCCAGCAGAATCATCAATGGCTGAAATCTCATTGTATATTTCTATGGGTGTTAATGCTGGTGGCATAACTTTCAGCAGCACATTACGACAAGTTGTAAGCCAGCAGGCATTTGAGTCATGTGGTGGGTAGGCAATAAGAAATACCTATGCCCACTTTTTAACATATGGCAATGTATTAATAGGATTCCTGCCAACATCTTACAGCACAAATGAACAAATAAAACTGTGAGAAATGAAAAATGATTTTCAGTCATCATAACTGTAATTAAATAAATTAGGGAGTCTAATTTACCCTACCATACATTACATATGTTGAGCAACCTGGATGATTAAGAAAACATCTGTTATCCTCCCTGTTGTGCATGGACTGCATATCCACATAGAAGAATAAGAAACCGAAATGTTGGAACCTATGCATCACCGAGACAGGAAGAGTATTACCTCTCAATAAGAACTTCTTGCAAGAGGACAAGTCAAAAACATTTCAGTACTTTTGGCACAAAAACAAACAGCACTTAGTCAAGGTGCACAGCACCCAAGGCCACCTATTTTGATGCCGTTCTCTCACTGTTTCCTGTCAGTCAAAATCCAACACACTTTCTGCTTTTTTATGGTATAATGTGGCTGATATTCACAAGGATTGGTAAGACATCCTGATCTTGAGGCTTACGGGCCAATTTGTGCATGTTTGTTTTTTGTGTTCCTTCTCACCCAGTAATTTTACTATTTTTAAAGCTCAGCATTTGATTAAGCCATAATGTTTCTAATTTCTGGGGGAAATTCTCAAACTTTTAATTTCTTCTGCTTTTATTATGTCTGAGAGGTGATGAGAGATGACTGGAATGAGAGGTCATGAGAAATGAACGGAAAAATACACACTATTCTAATACAGAAGCAATTCTTTTTTTACAGTATATACACTGGTGCCTCGACTTACAAACTTAATTCGTTCCAGAAAGGTGTTCGTAGGTTGAAATGCTCGTAAGTTGAAGCACCATTTCCCATTGAAATGCATGGGAACAGGATTAATCCGTTCCAGCATTTAAAACAACAACAACAGAAATAAACAAATAAATAAAGCACACAGAAAGTCCCATTGGAAGGTGCTGGGGCTTTAAAAAAAACCAAAAATAAATAAAGCAGGCCTCGAAGGCTGCAAATAATAATAATAATAATGATAACAACAACAACAACAACAACAAATAAAATAAAATAAATAAATGAAAAAATAACAACACAGCACAGAAACATAACCCCTCTCAGCCGAAACCCACCCTGTAAAAAGCAAAAAGCAGCACCTTACCAGTCAGACTGAAGCCTCCTCTGATGGCACTCCCTCCCTGGCGGATGGTGGCCGATGACAGGCCCCAGCTAGCAGCGTAGGGCAGCTGAGGTGGTGGTGGCCCTTACTCATGAGTAGACCCACCCCTTTGGCAGGCCTAACTCATGGGTAGACTCGCACCAGGCACGGGCAGGGAGCGCCCGGCTTCCTGCGCCCTGTGGCAATCTGGAGCCGCCCCGTTTCTCCTTCCTTCTCCTGTACCGTAAGAGTAAAAAGTTCCCTGACCCCCTGCTCTAACTGTTGGGGCAAAAGAGCTACAAAGAAGCAGCCTCTTCGCCACCAACAATTTGAATTTCCCGCCTTTTTCCCTTGCCTTTTTCTGTTCTTACCTCGAAGCTCCGCTTGCAAGTCGAAATAAAATTTTGCGGGCGGAGATGTTCGTAAGTCGAAATGTTCGTCGGTAGGGGCGTTTGTAAGTCAAGGCACCACTGTACAAAAATTATTTCTTATGTTCTTAAAGTGATATAAAGTACTAATAATGTAGGAGCTCAAACTGGTCAATCAGACGAGAGTCTCATATCCGTTCATGAATTATGTTCTATGATTTACAAGGGGGGATTCATCTATTACAACTAAGGTTAAAAGAAACTGACACAGGAAGGTCATTCATGGTGAGATACCTTGCAGGACAACACACAATGCATTAATGGTATCTTTTATGTATGTGGAAACTTTGAGAAAAATATCAAATAAACTCCAAGGTCACTGATTCATTGGGGAAGTGGGTCAGCATAAGAAAACTAATTTGAAAGTTTACAACTATAGAATTGTTAAGACAATTGGGTTATATAATCCAATTAAGGGTGGCTGTGAAATGCAGAAAATCAATACCCACCTTTTGAAGAACGGAAGTGCTTGCTGGGAGCGGTGAACCCCCGAGTGCCATGAACATTAATGGCAGCTACTCGAAACTGGTACCACCTGCTAGGCCTGATGTCAGACAGCTGTATTCGCTCATCTGTGGTCTGTACAGGAAAATATACTGGCTTAACACTCTCAACATTAACAGCAACAAGTCTGCTGGCTTTATATTTTGCTAGTTAATGGATGGGAATTTCTTTGTTTTCTACATTCCTGGAAGTGGTCTTAGATATTAGGTCACCTGATTTGTGTAACAAGCTCAGCGTAGTCTATTCAGGATGGCAACAATTCACCTGAGTCTAAGGCAGAGATCTTGTCTATTTCCCAATCTTTCTTTGAAAAATGAGATCCTTATGTAAAGCACCACAATTGATCTACTCTGCATCAAAAACTGTGTTAAGTTCAAATGTGATTCTGAATATAGGGGAACAGCTAGAAAGAGAAATTCACATGAAGCTAAAGATAAGAGATGAATGGCTTGCTTGCTTGCTTGCTTTTGCACTTCCTAAGTACTCTGTCATCTTCACAGACAAAGAAAGTCTCACCCACAACTTTTCAGCTCAGACCTAACGTGGGTCTTGTTATAGACAGCAGGATCTGCCACTTTTATCGACAGCTTGAAGCTAAGAAACGTGAAAAGAAGATCAAGGAAATTTTCTTGTCCTTGCAGAATATTTCTAAGGTGCAGCCCACCCCCAAGGGAAAGTCTTAATCTTTTAGAGGAGTGCGGAAGGTGTTGGGATAGCTAATTTGTAGCTGGCCGCTACAACTTCTCAGTGGGTTATTTAGGTATCTGGCTGCAGAGCCAGAGGTTGGGAGTTCAGTTCCCTACGATGCCTCCTTGAGAGGGTCTGAACTTGATTATCCAAAGGGTCCCTTCCAGCTCTGCAGCTCTAAGATGATGGTCATTGTCATCATCATCATCATCATCCAGCCTCTCATTCAACACCAGTGATATTAAGTAAGAAAAACATGAAAACAAATATTCAGGTCAAAATGACTCACCTGTGCTACAGTTTGCCAGATGGTAGCATCATCCTCACTGGGATGAATGCCATAATTCCATCTTCTTTGCACCACATAGAGAACAGGTTCAATGGAGATATTGAATTTTGAAGACCACTTAATTTCCAGTTGACCAGATGGAAGTTCACTAAATTTTAATTCTTTTCTAGGTTTCAGAGGGACACCTGTAACATAACATATCCATTAAAGGAAGTTGTGTGCATGCAGATCTGTTGCATCATTAAAATAGCCACCGATTAGATATATATCTGTTGTCACTAAATATAATGAAAACTTAAGTGATCTGTCCTCATATTGTATGCTTTATTTTAACTTTGCCTTCTGGTGAAATTTACCAAGGATTATTTGATTAGAATGGAAAGTCACATAGAAAAGTATAGAGAAACAAACTCATCCAGCCTTAAGCTATACTGTGGATTACTGTGCAGATTAGAGATGGTGGTATTCATATTTGTAGACGAATACGAATATCCCCCTGCAGGTGGAAATAACGAGGGTCCAGCAGATCACAGTACGATAGGAAGGTGCAGCTGCCAAACAGTGAGTGGATGGTCTGGCTCCATGGGGCCAGACCCTCATTATTTCCAACTGCAGGGGGATATTCGTATTTGTCTATGAATATGAATACCCCCATCTCTAGTGCAGATAATATTATGAAGCCATCTATTTATTTCTATCAGGTGGTCCCTTATGTGATGACCCCAAAAAAAAAATCATACTGGATATACACAGTTCTATAATGCAGTGGGAAGCAGCTACTTCTGTCACTAGAATGGCTGCAAAAACTGTTCCCACGCATCTAAAAATGGCTCACATACTAGGAGTGGAATAATTGTAATACAATTTTGTGAGGCATATTTTCAGTGACCCTTATCTAACCATAAAATTAGAGGTTCAGTCTTGTCTTCACAGTGCTAAGTGGAACTGCATGTTACTATAAGTATGACCCTGTAAATCAGTGGTCCCAACCTTGGGCCTCCAGATGTTCTTGGACTTCAACTCCCAGAAATCCTGACCAGTAGAGGTGGTGGTGAAGGCTTCTGGGAGTTGAAGTCCAAGAACATCTGGAGGCCCAAGGTTGGGGACCACTGCTGTAAATGATAACTAGAAGCCTGTCTGAAGTTCTCATCCTTCTCCTTTGAAACCATTTGATCTCCTTTCCTTAAAAAACAAACAAACCTCATATTGGCAACAATCCAGTCTAGAGAATCACAGTTCTCATGCAACAAAATGGCACGTTCAATGTATATTTTTTTATCTAATGCAGTAGAATAAGGAGAAAGTTTTAACACTTTCAAACTTTTACTGGTCATGGCAGGTGTCACCTTAATATGTAGCCAAATCTGGAGTTATATATCCTTTCTCAAGAATATACCTCAAGGAAGTCTTCTGTTGCTTTCATTGCCCTATTGTCCAATATCTGCAAGATCTAGTTAAATAATTTTCTGCATGCTTTATAAATCTGATAAAACCTGAGACTTCTTTTTCCATCCTCTATACTTCTTTGAATAAACAAATTCTCTTTTACAGAGATCTGGAAAAAAGTCTTCTTCCAAAATGTTCCAGTTACACAATCTCCAGTAGTAAACAAATACACATGTATTATTTGTCTATGGTCTATGTGTATATATAGACTGTGTATATATACAGGCACATAGATACACATATAAATACATATAGAGTCAACAGAGAAGAAGCCAAAAATCATTACAAATATGTCACAAAATATGTCATTCAAAGCCTACTAGCTTGTAAGTTTAATTCTGGACAACAATGAATGGTCACCAACCTAATGCATAATGTTTATGCATTACAATAAACATTGTTAAGTATGATAGTTAAGCTTTACACGCTTAAAAATCCTTGTTAAATTATTATGATAAATAAATCTACAGTTTGCATGCACAGAATCCCTCCATCTGCATTACATTAAGGTCAGCTGGATTCACTTGATTGGAACTAAGTTAACCCTTGTGATGGATCTAACTGTGAGCACATGGATCTCATGAGTACTAACCAGTACAGAACACACGTGCATTTTAAAACATTCCAGTTGAACCAGAATAACCAATCTCAAGTCCAGATGTCCATTTGAAGTATAAAAATGTGCTTTTTATTAGACAAAAAAGTTCACACCCATCACTGTAGCAAAAATTTGTCAAGCATTGGATCTTTAGAAAAACTTACAATTTTTTCACATGAAGAGCTCAACAAACACATTTTGTAATTTTAATTACACTAAGTTTAACAACACAAATGAATTAATTTCAGGAGTACTGATATCTACCATATCTCAGCCTGCTTGGCCATTGGAATAAATCTGCAATAACCTATGGTATAAGTGAAATATAGCAAGAGTAGGCACACTGAATCCATAGGGTGAGTTGACATTTTCATAAGTTTCATTGATTCAAATGGACCTGCGCTCATTGCAACTTACGATGCAACTAGAGTACACGCATTAAATCAATGAAACTTGATTCAAATGGGCATACTCTTACTATCTGCTAAACCAGTGGTTCTTAACCTTGGGTTACTCAGGTGTTTTTGAACTGCAACTCCCAGAAACCCTAGCCAGCACAACTGGTGGTGAAGGCTTCTGGGAGTTGCAGTCCAAAAACACCTGAGTAACCCAAGGTTAAGAACCACTGTGCTAAACTCACAATGAAAGTATACCCATTTGAATCAACAAATTATAGAAGAATTGATTCACCAAATTGCCACTGGTTCAATGGGCCTATTTAAGTGCAACGTACTAGACCAAGCAACAGGATTTCAGCCAAAGAATCTCTACAAGTCAGTGGACAGAGCCCTGTAGATAACTCAATTAATAGCTGAGTGAGTTGAGAACTTGACTACAGCACCAGGGTGGTCAATTTTTGGGAGTTCAATTTTCCACTGTGCCTCCTGAGAGAAGAGCCAGCCTGCATAACCTTGGACAAGCTGTATGGTCCCATAGTATCCCCAGATGGCAAACTACTTCTGAATTCTATATATCCACTAAACCCTAAGAAAGGTCACCATAGGTCAGAATCAACTAACACATAATTCACCCTGCATACAAATGACTGTTGACTACGCAACCCAGAGTGGAACTATATCCAGATATACCACCAATGGTGATAGCCATTGAAATGTGACTGACAGTATTCACTGCTGTAGTGTGAAACATTAAGAAAATATGTATTTTCTTTCAGTCATTCCAAAGATGAATGAATTCATATATGTGCACAGTGGTGGTTGACAAATCCAATTTCATGGGTATCTCACCTCAGCAAATGGTGTGTTGTCTTTTCATGTGCCATTCTTCACAATATTTTTACTGTATTCATTTTCCCAAACAATCAGGGGCCTCACAAGGTAAAAGCAAGCCCTCTGAGGTCTCACAGCTGAGACCTCAGAGGTCTTGTTTACAGATATATATTGATTTATCTTCTCCATCAAGATGGATAGAGTGTGATTTTAGAATTCTTCTAATGTATTCTAATGAATAAGCAAGTTTTTGTTTTTTATTTAGGCATGAAAGACAGGTAAGAGATAGCCTGAAGAAGAAAATCTTTATTATAAATGCCTGAGCATTTGAGCAGGACTTTTTCTCACTTCCAGGAGCAGGCAAGCTAGTCTGCTTTGTTGTGACTAGCTAGTCTGCTTTGGTGACTCATCTGCAGGACTTAAGCACATGATTTCTTTGGTGTCTGAAATCACAAAACGTATCAGACAACTTCCATTACCTCTCTGCAACATTCTCAGCTCTAATTACAGGCTACTTGTAATGTCTGCTTCTGGACGCTGCATGCAAAACAAATAAGCTGCTATAGCCATCTCACCAGCAACAAGAGATAAATATTCTTAGATGAAAATAACAGATGAAACTGATTTCCAAATATACAATATCTAATCCATATATGCAAGTCATGCTGATAAACAGAGAAGTCTGTTCAAAATGCAGCAAGGATCAGTCCTACTCTGCCTTTGGTTGAATGTGTGATGCCTCTTGAGTGTTCTGCAAGAAAGAGCTTGTGGCTCTCTTGAGTCTCCTCTGCATTCCATCCTAAAGTGTAAAGATTTGTATTTGACTCCACCACCACCATCTCATCTCCATTTCAGAAAACTACAGAATTTGTTTTTATAATTCTGGCCTCCCCCGAATGCCTTTAATACATTGGCACTTCGCCTGCATGCAGTCTGCCATCGTATCATTTTATTGCCATTTCCTGATGATTTGCATGATTAGAAGTCTTAATGAAAACATTCATTTTAGTATAGTAGAATGATTGAAATCACCATGTAATAATCTCTCATAATTACAGAGGGCTTGATATCATATCTACTGAACTCAGTGAGGAATATTAATTATTCAAGTATTCATTTCAAGTATTTTCTTGCTTTTCAATTGATTTATCTGAGCTAAAACATGCATACTATCATCAATTAAAATTAAAAAAATCATTTTCCTTGAATTTTTTATCTTATTTTTTTCTTTAATTAAGTAAATAAAGTAACACTGCCATATCACTCCTTTGCTTTTATGTTTAGCTGTCAAAAATTAATAATCATTTTATTGTTACTTTTATTTACAAATATTGGTGCCATTAATTTCAGGGTATAAACACACTGCATTTCTAACACTCTGGTTGTCTGTTAGATTTTCCCACAAGAGATCTTTTACTGGGGATTCCCTAGGTATCTTACAGACCTCTTAGCATAAATCTATAATAAATATATGTTGTAAGGTTTCAGTATATACACAAAAAAAGCAATGTGATATAAAATATATCTATGAACATAATGCAACTTTTTCCCAATAAGATACTGGATGAAACACAAACATCAGAGGCACACTTTAGTTCTACATCTCTGTTATTCTAAGACACATTTTAAAATCTCTTGTTCTAACACTCATACTTAACATAAAAAATTTTTTCTCACACTTAACATCAAAAAAACTAAAGAACTCATAATTGATTTTAGGAGGAAGAGAAATGTACATTTACCACTGTACATAAATGGCGAGGAAGTGGAGAGAGTTGGTAGTTTTTAATTTTTGGGCACTTACATTTCAGAGGACCTCTCGTGGAATATAAATGCCAACATGCTAGTGAAGAAGGCACAGAAAAGGCTGTATTTCCTGAGAATGCTCGGCAAGTTAAATTTATCTCAGCATTTACTTCTGTCATACTATCGTAGCACCATTGAGAGTGTCCTAACCTATGGCATTCTGGCATGGTTTGGGAGTAGCTCTGTAGCAGACAAAAAAGCTCTACAGAGAACCATTAAAATATCATTGGGCTCCAGCTACCAACCCTGGATGACATCTTCACATCCTGCTGTCTGAGGAAGTCACACAGCATCCTGAGAGACTCTTCCCATCCTGCTTATAACTTTTTTGAACTGTTACCGTCTGGCAGAAGATATAGAACAATTACGACTCAGACCACAGGTTTTCTGAATAGTTTTTATCCCAGAACTATAATTGCACTTAATAATGAGCTTAAAGACCACCAGTAGTGAATAGTTAGTTGGACTGTGTTACTTGGCCTGCGGTGTAGATGTTTGTATTTTTAGCGGGGACGTTTAGTGGGTGGGGAGTGTTGGGGGGTTTTTTAGTGGGTGGGGAGTGTTTGGGGAATTTTATGTGTGTGCATGTGTCTGGTCTCTGGGTGTCTGTGAATTTCATTGTATGGGTATACTGTGTATATACTTACAATGACAATAAATAAATAAATAAACAAACAAACAAACAAACAAACTAATTCTTTCTGCCAGCTTTAGCTGTTTATCATGATGAACTGAAGCCAATCCAACTAGAACAGACTCACCAAATTAATTGCATACATAAATTTATTTAATGTGCTTACTTTAGCTGGCACTAGCAATACCTTCACTATGGTTAATGCAATTTGTGTTTGGTTTTAGACTACTGAATCACTACATTATATCACTCTCTGATTAAAAGAAAACCCTGGTTAATGCTGGTGTACACATGATAGCTAATCATAATTAAGCCAAATGAGAGTATGTCTGGAAAAACAGAGGTAAGGGACAGAGTGCATAATCCTTTACACCATTCACAATTGCTTAGCTACATTGACAGGGCTGGCAGCAAACTGAATATTTTTGGATAATCCACTTTGCTCAGTAAACATTTACACTGATGTACAAGTTAAAATAATACAAGTTTCACCTAGTATGCCTGTCCCCATACTGTGTGTGAATCTCATGTTTCATTCTACACCTGATGCCTTTTCCATTCTATACCATACCACATACTCCCACTCTAAAATAAAGTTCATCTGTAGGGTAACTCAGCCCCAGTTAGTTGTCAAAAATGCCTGTTAACAATTACTACCTTTGTACAGATTTTTTGGTACTTGGCACGTATGTCCACATCCATTGGAACAGCACTTTTTCACACCAGAGCATTCTCCGTCAGCCTCACAACTTTCAACACAAGCAGCTGCAAAGCCACTGGCCTTCTCAGGAGCTGGGCAGTCTCCTTGCTTCACCGACAAGATGTATTTGAGGAATTCACAGCTAGTAAGGCATTCATAGTTCTTCTTGGGGAAAAGAGGCTGAAAGGAAAACAATAGAATTGTACGAAGTCTTCAGTAGGATAAATAAATAATTCTGAAATAGTTCCAATTTTTTAAGGGTGTGAAATGTGCAGTTAAGTCATATTTCCAACTCCATCAAAGGACTATCCTTACGGATTCATGCAGCTATATAGATTCTAAGAACAGAGTTCAAAGTATCAAATTATGAGGTCTCTGAAAATGGATGTCATATCCTATTGAATCAAGCGAGGTTTCGGGAAAGTATGGCCCTCCAGGTGTTATTGGACTCTCACTACCAATTTATGTGTGAGACAGAAGCAGAAGAGCAACAACATCTAATGAGCCTCATTCATTTCCCATTCCTGAATTGGGTCATTTGTCTTTGTGTGGTCTTTTATGTAAAGCTTGTTAAAGGGTCATTCAAGAGACTGAAAGCAATTTTAATACAAAGGGAAAACAATAGCTGAACAGAACAAGCAAGTCTCAATTTTTATTTATTCATTTTCAACCTCTACTCAGACACCATTCAAGGTGATGTACAAAATCATACAATGTTTGCACCCAGTTTGCCTCTCCTGACACAAAGTCTGCATACCAGGATCCCTACCACTATGCATTCCCCACCCCCTCTGCCAACAGCCAGTGAACTGAGGTGGAAACAGTGTGAGATGTGCCAGTGCAGTCTCATTACCAGGAAGAGTTAAGGCAGTTGCAGAAGAGCACCAATTCTGCACCTGTTTTAAGATTCTTCTCTCTCAAAATTATCTTCCATGTGTCCCCTGAATCCTGCATCCACTTTCCCCTAGCAGTGAGTCTCACCAAATGCAACAAGGGCACTAGAGAATAGCACTACTAATACACTAAGCATGCATTCATTGTGTGGCAATTAAAAAAACATAGCAAAATTCCAAGGATGCATGGCATCACCTGATCTCTGAAAGACATTAGGTTTAATTTAAAAGGTCATGAAGATTCTAGCCCATAGATATGACCTACTTTGAAATGTCCAAAAAGTGTTTGGGGAAAGCCTAGAAAAAAACAAGAGCTTGAGTTTGGTTGTTGATGATTCATGAGGTTATGAATCTCTCCAGCTGCTGCTATTGAAATCTTCACACTCCTCACTTCCTTTATCTAGTAATACATTCCCTTCTAAATACCTTCAAGCATATTTTAACTTGTTTCAACACTATTTTACTTCATTCAACTGAGGACAGGACAGCAAATTGTGTTCATGCTGAAGCAACTGGTCCAAAAGCCAATACCTAGGAATGTCTGGGTAGCAGGAAGGAAACGTGGTGTTTAAACTTCCCTTTATCTTCTACTCTGAACTGTTTTCAAACTGCTTCCCATCAGTCACTCTCTGGCAAAATTTCATTTACATTTGAACATGTTTTTGGACCTCTGCAAGAGGAAGGAAACAAGATCTACGTTTGAGAAGTAGTGAGGACAAATTGATTAAGCACCACTTCTGTGTTCCTAATCTCATACACCGCTGATTTTCCATATGAAAAACAGTTACCAGGTTTGTGTCACACACACTTTCGTACAGAGCATACAAAGGCCCTCTGTATGGAGTCTGATATTTTTCTTAGTTTTGTTGTTGTAAGTGCTGTTTGCAAATTCCCTCCCGCAATTTCTCTAATTCATACCCACACCCACCATTCTATAGAAGGTCTAAAACACAATAAAATCCTGCCTTTTGTCCTTTAGTGAAATAATATTCCTCACTGAGTCAATTCATGTACGTACACCACCCACTCCTACACTGTAATTTGAGAGATTCTTATTTCAGCATGGATGCTTCTTCTGCACATCATATAAATAGCTGCTGTACATTTACTGATTTACTGAACACTATTTCACCACCAGCCTAGTGGTTCGAAAGCATGCAAATGCAAGTAGATAAATAGGGACCACTTCGGTGGGAAGGTAACAGTGTTCCGTGTCTAAGTCGCACTGGCCATGTGACCATGGAAGATTGTCTTCAGACAAAAACGCTGGCTCTATGGCTTGGAAATGGGGATGAGCACCGCCCCCTACAGTCGAACACGACTGGACAAAAATTGTCAAGGGGGACCTTTACCTTTACCTTATTTCACCACACAACAACACCCAGTAGCTACCTAGTAGGTGTCACCTGGATTCTCTACTACAGCAAACTGAGTTGCAATGTCATGAAAACCATCTGACAATGTACACTAGAAAATTTCTGTGCACAATATGAATAGATGCTATACATATATTACAGAATTGAAGAATACCAGCTTTGTGCCATGAGCAGCAGTTTGAGATAGCCAAGAAATCTGGGAACGTGCCAATATTCTGAACCAAAAAACAACCATGAATAGAAAAAAAGAGAAAAGTGGGTTGGTCAAGCTAGGAAGCCTTCTTAAGTTCTTTCTTGTACAATATTTATTTATTTGATTTATTTATTTGATTTATATCCCGCCCATCTGGTATAATTATACCACTCTGAGCGGCTGAAATCAAGACATCCAATGGCTAATCTGAACGGCTGAAATCGGTCCCAGGCCCAAGGATACTATACCAATAAGCTAGCACTTGCAGTGCAACTAAATGTAATACTATGGGTGGTTTGAGCTTCAATGCCTGCCAAGGCTGTGAAGCCTCATGTGACCAACACCAGAAAACAGAAACTGTGGAAGTTGTCTAAACTTATGCAGCTCATTTTCAATTCTGGAATCATGATAGTAACTAAATGGTTGGTTGCTTTCAAATGTAATGTTGAATAGTGAGAAACTAGCAATTAATTTGTACATAATTGCATTTGACAAGGGCAAAGGTGAGTCAAAACAAAATGCACCTGATACTTGTGATTTATTTCTGAGATGGCAGACGGCAGGTGTACATTTCTCTGTATGTGATTATCTAAAAAAAAATCCCAAATTTTTAGCTGCTTAATTAAGAACCTTTCATAGTCCCTTGAGGTGTAATATGCCTTTGAAGCTTTTCTTTTTCACTAAAGTTCATAGATCATATTTTCAGAGACTCTGGAAATGTGCAACTTTTTACTTCCAGTTCCAGCCTTTTAAACTCCAAATACAGCTTCAAAACTCAAAATCACTAATTAAGCAGGGATGCCAGTAGGTCCTAAGTAGAACTGGGAAAGGTACATTCTCCCCACTCAGCCAATCCTCAACCACCTCTCATAAACCTGGAATTTTTAATTTACATTTATAGTTCCCCTTTTCATGTCATGCTTGTAATTCTGATACAATCCAGGATGCTTGAGCATATTTGGAGATGAATAACTTGCAAGCCTTGTTATAAAATTTGAACAAAAACCACATTCCATGCAAAATCAAATCTTTACTATTCATCCAAATTTGTGAGCTTCTCAAAAATATTGCTTAAATTGTCTCTTATCACATGATTATAACTTTCAAAAAAATCCAAAAATTTTCCTTTAGATTAAAAAACCCTGAATCAAACTTACTCCTCTTACTCTTACGACATACCTTGTCTTTTTTCTTTTCTTTTTTCTTTTCTTTTTCTTTCTTTCTTTTTTTTTCTTTTTTCTTCGTGCTCTGCCTTTTACGTTTTTTTTTTTTTTTTTTTTTTTTGCTTCGTGCTCTGCCTTTTATGAGGAACAATTACATCTTCTTGTTTGAATGATTTAGATTAATTTTTCTGGATTACTGTACTTGTTTTCTTTTATATAATAATGCTATTGTTGTTCACTTGTAGTTTGTTTTATTCTTCTTTATTGTACACCACCCAGAATAATGTATTGCATTAATGAGGTGGCATGATTGATTGAGATATATAGATATATAGTTCCTTATTGTATTATGCAGAGAAATATGGGTTGTATTCCATTAAAATGCACTACAAATAGCATCTAAGATTATCTGTATCAGTGATGGGCAACCTCTATGGGAGGAGCAGTTTTGTCCTCCTGCCAAATATCTGTATGAAGCTATAAGAAATTGTTAAAGTTGCTGCATACAGAACTTTAATATCCCCCCAGTATAATTCATCCATTTTCTTATTACTGTATACACTTAGTCACACAAGATGGTATACAATAAGCAGTGTCAACAGTGCAAATTCCGTGCATTAAATAGGACACAAAAAGGAGCTGAAATGCCTGAAAGAAGACCACAGAAAAAAGTTCCCTTAGTCTATATGGCAATGAACAAGCCTGTCTCACAGATTATGTGGGGCTTAAATGGCCAACGTAGCAGCAATTAGCTTTTCAACTCTTGCTTGGGGGACATGGCAGGAGCCTCCCCAAAGCATATGAGAACTCTGCACTCCTTCAGGAGGCCACTGGGCAACAACAGCACCCTGTCAACTGATCCTTCCACTCCGGAAGCACCACCAGATTGCTTCTGTCATGAATAAGGTAAAAGTTTTTGCTTAGTTGAAAGCATGTTAAAAATACTTTTGTCAAAAGCACACTCTGTTAAATAATGTTTTACCTTGGGGTGTGTGCACATGCATACAATGTAGACCTAAATCCTGATAGAAGGATTACAAACCCAAAGCCTACAGATTTGATTGGAATATTAGTTGGGAACTGGGATTTAATGTTATTTTGAGAGTTTTTATATACATTCTACTGTTTTCCCTTTTAAATTGATTTATTCTTAATGTTTTGCTTGGAGCATTATGGAAAAGTGAAAGGTAAATGTGTAACGTAAGAAAGTTCAGTACTACACTTTGCCTTTCACTCAGGGGCATAGAAATAAAAACAACAGTGGCTAAATCACTACAAGATCAGGCAGTGATAAACCCAGGTAGGCCACATGGTTCAAATAAAACATGCTCACATTTCAGTTGACATGCTGTTTGGTCTTAGCTGAATTGTTCTGAAAAGGAGCAAGTGTAAACTGATGTAATATCTCTGTGGTAAATTAGCTGAATTGTTCTGAAAAGGAGCAAGTTCTACTCTACAGTGTGAACTGATGTAATATCTCTGTGGTAATCAATGCTATTGGGGATCAGGTCAGACAATCAGTTTAAAAGGTAAAGAGCAAGTCATGGATTCATGACATTTTGGCTTGTTTCCCAGCTATCAATTTTGTTCATGTGAGAAGCCTAGGACCATCATAAATATCTAAGATAGCCATTTCACACAAACAAGTGATTGACATGATGTGCAAGTCTAATGTAAGCCAAAAACAGTCTTAGTCCATTCTCAAGATGCTAGAACTAGAATTGTGTTCTTAGGCATAAACTTTGCTTTTGTTACATACATTTGCTCCATTCACAACTGGAAGAAAAGACACATATTCTGTGCTTTTAGCCGTATGAAACGATGCTAAAGGAACACTATTGCTTGCAGTCCCAAACAATGTTTATTATTACAACTAATCTTAATATGCTATTTCTGACACTGCATAGCCTAGCCACAGGTCTAGACCATCTCAGAAGGCATCTTCTTAGGTCAAAAGAAGAAGAAAAAATCCTCCCCCTAGTGGTAGAGTACAGATTAATCGGCTTTGCATTAGTTCCTATGGGCATTAATGCCGCTACAGTGGGGTCTTGACTTGAGAACTTAATCCGTATTGGAAGGCGGTTCTCAAGTCAAAAAGTCTGTAGGTCAAGTCTCCATTGATCTACAGTGCATTGAAAACCGATTAATCCCGTAACA